ACCTTAACTTTCAAACAGAAATGAATCACTTTAAATCCGATTTTGGGTATTTCTCTAAAGAGTTAATTTGTTGTATGACCAAAAAAAAACTATATCTAATATTCTAACCAAAATGCGTAAATTAGTGGGCATAATTTGACCACATAGGAAGATTTTGGTTAGAGTATTAAATAAGGTTTTTTTATTTTGGTTATACATCCAAATAACCCTTCTCTAAATGTTTTTTTTTGTTTGAGAAAGGGTCTCTAAATGTATTTCTCTTTTAATAAATCAAGAAAAGGAGAACGAACATGTTCTAAGTCCGAAACCTCAAATCTTGGCAATGCCATTTCATCCATAGCTGTCAGAAACCTCTCAATGTTTACAGAAGCAAGCTCAAAACTACCTCCCTACAGGTTAAACCAAAGAGAGTGGCTAAGAAGCAAAAAAGAGCACAAAACATAGAAAATGAACGAAAAATATTTAAAAACCCCGAAAGGTTCACACAAATTCAGTTACCATTTTCATTGAACCGGGACTAAGCTGGTTTAAGAGATTGCACAGGACAGTACCATCCTTTAAGCAAGCTCTTAGTTCTTCCTCTGAAGCCTCCCATGGTAAATTTAAATAAGGAAGTGTCTCATTTAACCACTCTACTAAACTTTGATGGCCTACAAGCCAAATGAAAAATCGTTAAGGACAAAGAAATGACGAATAAGAAATTTAAAACAACTAATATCATAAAAATATCAAAGAAGATAGTTATTTAAAAAAAAACACATTGCCTTGCTTAGTATCATCTAAACTTTCACGACTTTCTGATCCATTAGAAGTCAGAATGCTGCTTGATCCATCTGATCGGCCATAAACACCAACCATGCTGGTTCCGTCTTCGATTCGATTGTACATTTCTCCACCTATGTACATCATTTTCATGAGAAACCAGACTTTCCTACAATAAATTTTCAAAAATCATAACAAATTGAGCTCTATAATAAACTAACTTTTTCGACTCCAAAAGTTCTTTGAGGGAAAAAAACGCTAAAAAATACTTTTTCAATTTCATAAAGGTTTATAGTTTTAGATTTTTTCACACGTATACCTATTTTAATTCGCTCTTTTTCTTAAAATTACACAATTATAACTACTAACTTTTTTTCTGAAAATACTGTAAATATCAATAGATGATAGCGGTTTGCAAGTACATACAAAAAAGAATGACTATTATATAACTACTAACTTTTTTTTGTCAACATATAACTACTAACTTAAGAATGTAAACTTTTTTTTTTTTGAAACTTTATATGATCATGTAAACTTGCATGTAGACTTACCAAACATCAAATCCATATACGGCAAGAAAACAAAGCTAGAACATAAATTTTTTCAAACGGAAGCAGTAATATTCTGAAAGAAATAATTTCCAGAAAACAATACCATAATGTTGAACAAATCAACCAATAAAATCAGCTGAAATTTTTCAATACGTTACCAATATTTCAAGGGGGGGGGGGGGGGTAAAAAAAACTCTAAGAAAACATCGCAGCCATAGGAAGGATGTTGAATGTTCTGAAGAAATTCAACGATAAATTATCAGTATAGGAATGATGTTGAATGATCCTTTGCCGGAAAAAGAATTCAAAATTTCCAGTTTTTTCTCTCTATTTAATTTGCTTCT